AGGGCAGTCCAAGAAGTGTAGTCGTTTGGAATCGCTAAAGAAAAACCTCACAGCATGTTCTTAAACAATACTCTTATCAAATATGTGTGTGTTTAAACAAGATAGAAGTTATAAAGAAGAAAATTGTTTTCTAAAAAAATCTAAAATATTATTCTTAAAATTAGAAGGGGAAAAATGTAGTTCTAATCTATAATCCAAATGGTGCCATATCAGCTTCGTATAATTTTACATTTTTATTATAAGTGGCACCTCTCCCGTTTCACATATTGATCATATTGTTTAAGTCCCCCGAATATTCACACATTGGTTTTGCTAGCGTCCACTAAGTCCGACTCTTGGTTTCTATATGGTGACAAATATTCTCTAATCTCAGATCTGTTGTGACTATCGCTCGCAGCTCATCTAGTGACCTTCTGGTAGTTTTCTTGACTCCTTTTAATCAGCTCTGTTTTTATTAGGTTTGGTCTAGGTGTCTTTACTCCTAATCAAACTTCAACAGGGTGTAATAAAATTTACAGCAATTGTTTTGGCCATTGAGAGTTGGTGTTAATTCTCAATAAATTCCTCGTGTAATTCTGGTCCAGAAAATGTTTTAAACATTTGTTTGTTTTAAGATTTGTTGAGAGTGACATGGGGACACATGACATGGCCAGGTTGCACAGGCTGACGTTGTTCGAAGGTTTTGATTCAAACATCTACGGTGCCATGGAACGTTACAAGGAGGGACTGGAGATCACCTTCGGAGCGGTCATCCAACTACTGGGACAGAGAACTTCCAGGAGATTCGCTATGGAAGGATGATGTGGAGTTGATATGCAAAATGATGAAGGGGCCCGAGATCAGTGAGTTAAACGTCCGCAACATCGTCCAGGATATGCTGAAGCTGCAGGTCTACAACGTTTCTTTGTCCCTGTGCTCTTCACAAATGAGAAGATTGTCAGGGTTGAACCGCTCTACAATCACCGCCAGCTGTGCAAGAAGGAAGACCGCCGCTGCTAAGGACATCAGCTGCAGCCATTTCCAGGATCCCGCCAGGGTCTGAACCGACATCTGCGGCCCCTGGAACAGAGCATGAACCATTCCTGACCCGAGTCAGTGTGGTAGAGCAACCAACCTTGGAGTAAATCAGCAGGCTCAGTGACGGCAGATCCATCTAGCAATAACAAAGGTGACGCGCGAGTTGCGACGTCGTTTTATTCCGATTCAGGCAATACTGCGATTAGTGTCACTCCGTCAACTCCACCAAGGAATTCTGGGGCGATCTGGACACAATTATCTCATTGTATGATACACATGTTGTAGCAAATAGGATTTCAATAGGTCACAGAGAAAACGTTTGTGGGTAGTCGGAATACAATCAATCTTCAATTCTACAGTCAACAGTGGTAAACACGTGAGGAAGTTCTACAGACACTGGATATAATAACTCTAATGGTTAAAGTAGAGAAACTGATAGTTTATGACCCTGCCAATCTTCAACGGCAGCATATATATGTTTACTATAAACCTATATATGTTTAATATAGAACACATCTGCATGACACCTGCGCTAAATAATTTCAAATTTCGTATATATAAAATTTATAAATTATCATTATCATCTCTGATTTTTATTTTTAGAATAGATAAAGAAGTAGGTAGGCCAAAAATTAAAGAAGTCGATATAAAAAAGGGTGAAATATAGTAAATAGATTATTAAAATATCAAAAGGTTTTTTTCAAACAACAGCAGTAAACTTTATATTAACAAGTCAAAGAATGATTTAAAAAATTGTAAATTGTAAACTTTAACATTTTTATATAAAGGTCGCCTCTCCCATCAAAATAGACGTTTATGAATGTACAATAAAATGAGAGTGTAATACCATGAACTGCTCAGTTTTAAGTGCAAGGAAGGCTGAGGTACAATTCGAGAGAAACTTATTTGTAATTCTCAGGAATAAGTATTTATTTATTTGACAGTAGAACCCACAATTGGTCAGATGTAACTTTGAAGACCCGTGAATTGTCGTCACTACAATATCATATCTTCCAAGCCCCTTATTTCTCACTTCTACTTTCTAATTGTCTAACAATGATTGCGCTAAGTCAACACTTGCTGCTTCTTGTATGCAAATTATTGGCAATCTCCCATCTGAGTGAAGTGGGAGAAGTTTTAAAACAGACTAAAGTGATAACACATACTGCAGTAGATGAAATGGTCACAAACAACAAACCTGTCACTCAATGACTGTGACATTCTGCTGCAGGGAGACAAACTTCTCCTTCATCTTCAGGTCCTGGTCCAGCTCTGAGTGCTGGCGGTGCAGGTCGGCCTACAGGATCTCGGACTCTTTTTCAAAGTTGTCCTCGTCTACTGCCGGACTGTTGGGGTTGCTGGCTGTCAACCTCGACACCTGCACATCTCTGGCTGTTTGTGTGGGCTCTTTTACAACATATTAGTATTTTATCTAATTGCCAACATTGTAAACATATTAAGGACAAATGAAAATAAGTTCCAGCTATTGCAATCAACATAACAATGAAAACTAAAGATATTTAGAGAGAATACACTTGAAATAAAGAAAGCTTCATATTCTTTCTTTCAAGTAAAAATTGTCTGTTATTCTGGGAACACCTTGAAAATGGCTAGTACGTCAATAAAATCTGGGTTTCAGTTATACTTTGACCTGGTTAAATAAACCCACTCTTTTTTATAAAATGAATTCTCTTCTCTTTTGAGAAAATTAAGTTTAAACTTACTTGCCATCTTTTTGGGCTTTGGGGAAAACATGGAGAATTCTCAATTCTTCAGGGACTTTCTGACCAGGGCACAATGTCAGACAGGATGAGAGTTGAATATACAAGTCAAGATAGAGAGGGGGCAAGTACCTGTATTGTCTTCAGGAGATTTTGACATTGAATAATGTATTTGGCTTTTTAGCGGAGTTCCTGGTTCTCGTCTGGCGTGACAAACCTTTTTCGGGGTCCTTGATCAAATTCCTGGAAAACGCGGTGAACACTTGTTACCTGTTCAGTTTGTTACGTAGTAATTTGATGCTGTATATGGATTATTTCAAAGTTATAAGGTGATATTTGGATTATAGATTGGAAACATGAGAAGTAATACGACCACATCCAACTGAATAAATTATGAACGACATTTCAGTAACATTGTAATTACCATCGTCAGACAAAATTACTCTATCTTTTCAGAATTTATTATAAATAATTATTCAGTACTCTTTTGTCTGAAGGTGTTAACAATGCTGTTACTGAAACATCAGACATAGCTTATTCATTAGGTCTTATTACTTCATTTTTGAATTTATTTGAGGCTTGTGAAAAGTGTGTGTGTGTGTGTCATTTGAACACAGAATAATAATTCATATTCCAATTTAAAATTCAATAACTCCTATTTCAGAAATGGCTGGTTCAGGCCTGAATAAGATTTTTAAAAATGGGCGAAAATCATTCAAATATTATGTGTCTGAAGCAGAAATGCAACGCGCTGTGCAAAGATTACACAAATTCCATGAGTCCATGCTCCTCGAGCTGTTTGGTGTTAAGCAGCAGCCTCTCCCAAAGGTCCTGTTATAAATAAATATATACATGGATGTGTTATTTACTCACAGAGAGGACCTTCTCACAGTGTTTGGAAGTATGGGAGGCCGCGGAGTAGAGCTTCCAGGCCAACTTGCGGTTCACCTCCTTCAGTTTGTTGTTCTCGCTGAGTAGCTGGGAGTAGGGTTTGCTCAGGGCGAGGTTCTCCAGGCCTGACAGGACCTGGTTCCCTGACAGCTGGCCCTCCAGCTCCCGTACCTAGGGTCACAGGTTGTCTTAGACATCCTCATCTCACGGCCAGCCACTTCAGCTCACCTTCTCCCCCAGTCCCATGAGCTCTGCCATGAAGGGATTACTGTTGACCAAAAGCTTGTTTTTGATGGTGTGGAAAGTAAGGAGCAAAAATCAACCTAGACCTACCTTGCAGCGTGCGAGTCAGCTTGGAGTCACGGTAGGGTACGTGAGCGTTGTCATCACAGAGGGCGCTGATGACATTGCCCAGGGACAGGAGGCCGCGGTTGATTTGGATCCCTGCAACCCAGGCAGTGTCACTCGACACCAAGTCCTGTAGCGGTGGGTTTCCTGGGCTAAGCTCTCCCTTATATTCCCCACCATTCCCACGAGGTTGTTAATTATCCCATAGCATTTCACTTGGCTTAGGATTTTTAAGGCCAAATTATAGATTAGTACTCTATGCCCAATTGAGAACATTCTGTTAGATGTTATTGAACCCCTGGTAGTAAAAATAGATTTCTTGAATTGAGAATCTTTATTCAGACAGAAAAGGAGCAATGATACAAGTGAAACACTGCCATAAAACAGTGTGGAGTTTGGAAGAATGGCAGAGCATAAGTGTCTACCAACAGCTTACCTTTCTTAAGGCTCTCTCCCTCTCAAACTACAAGGAATGCCATTTGTATTTATAAATTAGTGCTAAATTTTTTTTCCAATCTCTATTTCCAATATTTCCTCATTGCATTGAGGGCAGCAGGAAACGTTGAACCTAAACAGTTTTATATCTTGGAGGTCAAACTTGGCTTATTTTTTTTACAGTGGAAGGGCGAAGATTTCAGCAAGAATACTGATGTAACTTTAGCGGGAAAGGGGCACCAAGACTATATATAAATCAATGATGTGTGACATTTCAGGAACAACATTGTTACCATCTTCAGACAAAATGCTGAATGAATTGTCTGAAGATGTTAATAACACTTTTACTGAAACATAACATGTGATTTATTTATTAGGAGAAGTAGTCTTGTTATCTTTTAATTTTTAATCCATGTACCATAATCTGCAGGAAAGGCAAAAGATAAGCAAAAACCTATGCTCTAACAACATAGGAGTTCCAGACAGCAGGAATTTAAGGACCAAGATATGGGGATTGGAACTTACATGGATGCCGCTCTTTGAATCTTCTCTTATGTTGAGGCTCTCCCTTGTCCTGACCAGCAGGTCAAAGAGCTCCTCCTTGTGGATCTGTGGACACAATCGCACATTGTACTCCAATAGCCCACAACCTTCAATACCCTCCCTTCTGCTTTTTATTGAATGTTCAATGAAAAATATAAGGTATATCAATTCAAATTTGATCTTACTTACAGTCTTCTTAGGCTTTGGGGAAAAAATGGAGAATTCCTAATTCTTCAGGGACTTTTTGACCTGGGCACGATATCAGACAGGATGAGAGATGAATCTAGAGGTCAAGATAGAGAGGAAACAAATACCTGTATTTTCTTTAGGATATTCTGGCATTAAACAATGTTTTGGGCTTTTTCGCGGAGTTCGGATTATCATCTGGGGTTTTAGAATCTTCGAGGTCGCTGATGGAAGTGCTGGAACACTGTGAACAATTGTTGTTACCTGGTCAGTTTGTTATGTAGTAAATGGATGGAGTGAATATAGAGATCATTTCAAAGTGATAAGGTACAATTTGGATTATAGATCGGAAACATGAGGTAATAAGCCCTCATATCTAACTGAATAAATTATTCACGGCATTTCAGTAACTGTGTAATTATCATCAGCAGACCAAAGTCCTGCATCTTTTCAGAGTTCATTTTTTAGTAAACATTCTTAGTACTTTTGTTTGAAGAGGTTAACAATACTGTTACTGAAACATCTGGTGTAATTTATTCGTTAGGTCATATTACTTTATTTTAGATTTATTCCATTCCATTTCAAAATTGTCTGGTTTAGACCAGAGTAATATACAAAAATGGGCGAAAATCATTCAAAGATTATATGTGCCTGAAACAAAAATGTAACACACACCAAATTAAAACATGGAGAACCACAAGTGATGTTTCGGTAACAACACATCAGTAAAACACTATTACAAAATATTTTACAATTTAAAAATTTTCTATAGTTACTTTATCAGGATACCTCTCCCATTTACAAAAAAAAAAAAAAAAAAAAAACACAAATATATAAACCATTTACTCTGCTCATATTTAGACAAATATAACGTTCATGAAAATAAACAGCCTGTATCCAGGCGGCCATTTATTTTGGAGCAAAGTCAGCCTGCCACTGAGTAGTGCTCCCAGTCTTAATGACGAAGGCACACGCATTCTACTTCACTCATTATGGAGATAAGAAAGAAGAAGACCAGCCTGTATGCCATGGTTTATGGTCCTCATCAGAAGGTGGGTGGACTTCAGTTTTCCTGAGGTCCTACTGGGAGAGGTGTCTTTTCACACCTGAGTGAGGTAGGGGAAATTTATTTTTTAAAGATGGACCAAAGGTTAGAGTGATGACATGTACTACAGTAGGTGACATTGTCACAAACAACAAACCTGGTACTCAACGACCGTGGTCACATACTCCTGCAGGGAGACAAACTTCTCCTTCATCTTCAAATCCTGGTCCAGCTCTGTGCTGGCGGTGCAGGTCGGCCTGCAGGATCTCGGATTCTTTCTCAAAGTTGTCCTCGTCTACTGCCGGACTGTTGGGGTTGCTGACTGTCAACCTCGACAACTGCACATCTCTGGCTGCTTGTGTGGACTCTCTTAGAACATATTGGTATTTCATCTAATGGCGAACACTATCGACTTATTAGTAACAAATGACAATAGGTTCCAGTTATTGCAATTAATATATTACATGGAAAAATAAAGAAGGTTAGAGAATATATAAAATAAAGAAAACGTCATCTTGTTTTTCTCTGGGGTAAAAATATGTCTGCTTTTGTTGTCAAATTATATTGACAAACATTTGCTGTTATATCTTATCAGTTTTTAGCGGGAAGAAGGTTGCTTTCGTATGTTAATGAACCAATCAATGTTTCACGCCTTCTCATTGGACGAATGTGGCCATGTTTGTATATAAGAGGGTGCTAAGGGAATGCGAGGGGCGAGTGTGTTTAAAAATTTGTGATTTATCCGTGTCTGGTGATCTCCTCGCATACCTGTGTGGCCCCAGTCCGATCCCTACCAATGCTACAATAAAAGATAAATACTGTTTTGTTTTTATATAGCAAATCGTGAGGTTTATTTTTTGCTTTTTTGCTGTTGTTGTACTCTTGAGTGTACGCTTTTCTGTGTGTTAGTTACTATTACTTTAGGCCCTAGTATATTGCATTTTTGTGTGATAACCCGTACTAGTAACTTTTGTGATTGTCATTAAGTCTGGGAACACTCCTCAAGCTGCCTAGTGCGTCAAGAATTATTTGACCTGGCTAAGTACGAAAACACTTTTTAATATAAAAATGATTTCTTTTCTTTTCTTGAGAATTTAAATTTAACTTCCTTACCATTTTCTTGGGGGAACATCGAGGCACTTGATGGCCTGGACACGATGTCAGACAGGATGAGAGATGAAAATAAAGGTCAAGATAAAGGAAAGGAGTGAGAACCTGTATTGTCTTTAGGAGATTCTGGCATTGAAGAATGTCTTGGGCTTTTTGGCGGAGTTCCGGGTTCTCGTCACTGGGTTCAAAGTCGCTGATGATAGTGCTGGAGCCCAGGGAACACTTATTATCACCAAGTCAGTTTGTTATGTAGTAATTGGATTTAGGGTATGGATTATTTTAAAGTGATACGGTAAAATTTGGATTATAGTTCAGATAAAAATGTTTCTAAATGTGAGAAAGGTCATTTCACCATAGTCTTAAAATAAGATTCTTGCAAATGTCCAACCTACCAGTAAGTGCTAGTAACCAAATAGGGCTCTGGCACCTTGCAGATGCAAGCATAAAATTGCTTTAAGTTCCTTTATTAAGATAAAAATAACAACAAGCGTTAAATCCATCACCAGGCCAATTGTTTCGCAAATACCTACAATTTGTATATAGAGAGGTTTTGAAGAATTTACATACTTCAAATATTTATCATAAAAACTGACTTACTTATATACCAAATGATAATTATATGATATATAATGATATACATATATAATATAATGCATTAGCGCGCCATCTGTCATGAAAATTCGAAACTATTATAGACACGTATGATTCTTTTAAAAATTAAACAATTACACTGCGTGACATTGAAAATGGAACACCAAGAAATAGTGGCCAGAAAATTATGCAAATTTCAGGGTAGACGCGCCTAACCGAGTTATGCAAATGATGTAAAATGTGCAGCTCTCGTGCGCACATGGAGTAAGATATAAGGGAAGGAACTTGCAGAAAGGACAGTATTCGTGTCGTTATTTCTTCAAGGAAAATCATTGTAGAAATTTTGTTCTTGTGTCAAAAGACACGTGTAATAAAAGAGAATGCCAGGTCATCGTAAACGGAGGCAGTTCAAGCAGACAGACGCTTTTACGAGGGGCATGGTGATCGGACTTGAAAAGGGCAGGTTGGTCCATACGTCAAATCGCAGCTGATACACACCTTGGTGCGTCCACGGTGCACCGACTGTGGAGAAGATGGTTGGAACAAGGAAATGTGGCAATTTATAGGAATGTCGGTGCAACCAGAGTGACGTCAGCACGTATCCTTCGACAAGCAGTGGCGGCCCCACAAGCCACTTGTACCGCCATCCTGCAACATGTGCAAGACACCCTAGATCATTCCATCTCGACCAGAACCATTTCCCGTCGATTGGTTGCTAATGGCTTGCACTCATGCCGTCCGCTAAGAAGACTGCCATTGACCCCACCGAATAGGCGCCAACGTTTGGAATGGTGCCGGGCTAGATCGACGTGGATGACGGAATGGCACAGGGTCGTGTTCTCAGATGAGTCGCGTTTCTGCTTGTCCAGTGATAGTCGCCGTGTACGCGTGTGGCGTCGACGTGGAGAAAGGTCCAATCCGGCAGCAATTGTGGAACGCCCCACCGTGCGACAACGTGGAATCATGGTTTGGGGCGCAATCGCGTATGATTCCAGGTCACCTTTACTTCGTATTCAGGGCACTATGACGGCCCAACGATACGTTGATGATGTGCTGCGACCGGTGACACTCCCCTACCTTCAGGGGGTACCCAATGCCCTTTATCAGCAGGATAACGCCCGACCGCACGCTGCTCGCATTAGCCAACAAGCTCTGCAAGATGTACAGATGCTTCCCTGGCCACCGTACTCTCCTGATCTCTCACCAATCGAGCACGTCTGGGACATCATTGGACGCCGTTTGCATGCCTTGCCACAGCCGCGTTCAGAAGACGAACTGTGGCAAATGGTTGAGAGGGAATGGAGAGCCATCCCTCAGGACGCCATCCGTACTCTGATTGACTCTCTACCTAGACGTGTTGCTGCGTGCATCGCCGTCCGCGGTGGTCCTACTTGCTACTAAGCCGACGCCGTTCTCGCTCTGTATTATGACTATCATTTTGAAATAAAGATCACTTATTGTTCGTCCCTGTCTCTCTCTGTCTGCCGAGTTTCATCACTTTCTGGCCACTATTTCTTGGTGTTCCATTTTCAATGTCACGCAGTGTATTACTGCCCTTACTGCAATCAAAAAATTAATGGGAGGGCCTGGCTCATTAGTGGTGAACCCTGCCAGTGGCCAAAATATAAAAATAATTAATTAAAAATTCTTGGATGAACGGATAACAGATCATAGCTCCCTTGGGTGAATATACATACTATGGGTTTCTATGCGTGTTGATGTTGCTGTGGTATTTTTATTCTTCGGTTTTTATATGTACTGTTATTGCTGTTTGAGATTAATGATTACAGAATGAGTCTATTATATTTTAAAAAGGTTTTGGAAATTTAATATTTTACATCCTGTAGGTTGAATCCTGTGGATTCTTCATGCTGATACGCTAATGATATTTTGTCGTGATTTGTAATGTTACGGATGTGTTCTTTGATTCTGGTGGCGACTCATTGGCTGGTTTGTCTTATATATGAGGCTGTTGTCAGAATACTGGATATATGGCATTGTGCTGATTTCCAGCTTCTATTCTGATATTTGATTTGGTAATTGGGTTTATTTTGATTTGACGTATGGACTGAGACTTGCCGAATAAACATCTTATGCCGAATTACTTTAAATCATAAGCCCGTTTTTAATTGGTTGTAAAATATTCCAGGTAACAATTGGTTCAATATACTGTCTGATTTTTTGGGGAGGAATTCGTTGTAGGTTTGCTTCAGTATGAATTCTAGCGAGAATCCGGCCTTTTACAGGTTTCGAAAGACATTGAGCTTTTCTATTTTTTTTTTTTCAAAACAGGTAGAAAGTAATGCGTAGTGATTCTTTTAGTTATCATCTTGAATATTTTATGACTTATATATTGGACTCGATGAATTAAAACTAAGATAGTTCTATTCCTCTTTTTGTAATAAACTGTAGAATGAAATCTTTGTTCGGTTCTATAAGAATGAGTATTATCTAAATAAGATAGTTCTGCTTTGATTTATGTCTGCGTTGTGAATATAATCTGGGGGCTGTAACTGTTCAAAGTGTTTGAAATTTGATTATCTTTATCTATGTTTAATTTTTAAAAAATCATTGAAGTACCACAGTATCATTTCTTCAAAGCTATTGATCCATATATATAAATTTTAAAAAATGCCCCAATGGCCCCTGATTCTTGCAAAAGTCTAACCCCACCAGCGAGTGCAAGTAACCAAACGGGGTTCTGGCACATTTGTAAGTGCAAAGTCGAACTGCTTTCCACGTGTATAGACATGTGGTGCACTTACAGTAAAAGCAGTCGCCTACTTCTACCCACCATGATTATCATGGCCTGTACCACGTGTACTTGGGATAAAAAAAATAATAATAATAATTTCAACATGACCATCTATAAAATGAATAAAGATTCCAGGGCTAAGTGTCTTGACTATCTATGCAGCTGTTATTGATAATGGGCTCCCTTTGGGGGAACCACAAATCTGTTGGTAGATTCCATCTTCAAATATAAAATCATCATTGTGAGACAGAGCTGGAATAAAGTCTATAGCATCGATCGAACTTTGACTTAATGTCCTTCAGATGGTCTATTGATATGGAGTAGACTAAGAAATAAAGATACATCATAAAAGAAACAAATTCTAGACTCTTTTATATAAATTGTAGGTATTTGCGAAACAATTGGCCTAATGGTGGCCTAATTGGTCTAACACTTGCCATTTTAACTTAATAAACCTATTGCAATTGGTATATTGTGATTAGACTTTTGTAATTATTTTTAAGAATATTTAGATAAAATTTGCTTTCTCCCTTACATCTGAAGACATGTGGTGCAGACTTTCAAAAACAAATGGACGCTGAATACCTCATCCCAATTATCATCTACTTCTTCATATATATACCAGGTTAGGAGGTAAAATATTGTCAAGAAGCTCTATCTAGATGGGACACCTGTCAATCATCCCTGGACTCCGGGGATAACCACAGGTGTGAGGGGTTCTCGGTAACTTATCTGCAAATAAGGAAAACAGGACGGTAGCTGACGACGCTCAATATTATTATATTTACCTTGGGATAAGTTGTATTATTATTATCTGACCCTCTCTCTCCCTATAAATACCTCTTTTAGATAATTATATTGGAGAACTAGAAGGTAAATACCTACCTTTATAATAAATTTATGATTCCCAAATTTGCCCTTGCTTTATTTATCTCCGCGACAATATATATAATATATATAAACGCTTTCAGACTTTCAGGCTGAACCAAGAAAATAAAAAAGGGAATTGAGTAGAACATATAAAATATATGGCAGAAAGGCCACAGTACTCGTGTTGCACTTCGTTTTGATTACTTCCATTCACACATGACAAACATGATACGTGAGGATATTTGAAGTTGTAAGAGAAGGGATGAACACAAATAGGAGTAGAGAAAAGAGGCATTAGACAAGTATTTTGTGATGCTGAACCATCCAATGAAGAGTCATGATAACTATGATAGATACTCAGGTTATATATTCACCTGGATTTTTTTTTTAAAGCACGAAATCGGTTTTTTTTTTTGTTTATTCCAAGTACACATGGTACAGGCCATGATAATCATGGTGGGTAGTTAGCGACTGCTTTTACTGTAAGTGCACCACATGTCTACACATGTGAAAAGCAGTTCGACTTTGCACTTACAAATGTGCCAGAGCCCCGTTTGGTTACTTGCACTCGCTGATGGGATTGGACTTTTGCAAGAATCGGAGGCCAATTGAGCATTTTTTTTTTTTACGAAATCGTAAGGCGCGAAAGGTTTAAATTAAAAAAAAAAATCTTTCGCCTTATGATTTCGAGATTTTTATGAAAGATACTATTTAATACATCATCCACCTAGCGCCAAATATCGATAAAAATTATAAACCTTTTTAGCGCTACTATTCTTCCAATTTATATATGATTACTATTTCTACAGCTCTTATTCTGCAATGAATAAAAATTGAAAGAGGGACGGAATGGCTCATCAATGGTGAAGTCTCCTAACAGTTTCGCCATTTTAACCTCCAGACCGCATCACTATTGTATTAAACTCAGTTTCTTATATTCCCTGAACTTGCTATTGAATTCAATAAATTGGTGTTTTAACTACAGTCAGTTCTCCTCCTACTGCCCTATCAGGTACAAGTTACACACATTAAATAGTATTTCAGCAAATGTCAAAACTTGGAAATCACTTATTAATTTTGATACATTTTCACAACCCATCTGAGAGAATAAACCCCCAGTTTACAAATCAATATGTAGTATTCCTCATTCATCTGATTCAATAGCAAGCAATCTCAAAGGGTTTAAAAGAAATCTCTCAAAGCAATTCTATTACTATAGGTTCATTAAAAAAAACAATGGTTACCTGTAAAGTCGGTTTTACGGGCGAAGATTTTACGTGACAACGGTAGAATATTTATTGATATGAATATAATTAAATTGCACAATAGGAACAAGGAATTGAATGAAAATAAGAATTGCACAAATTTTAACTATAGAAATATATTTTGTTTACTAAAACATTGTACATGTAAACTTAACTAATTCCTATTTGAGTGATTTTGTTGAGGATAGGACGATGATAGGAGAAATATGAAATGAAAGGAAGTGTTTCTGCTGTAATGTGTCTTGCGAAAGTCAAGTCGATAGTTGTTCCTTTTAACGTAGTTGACTTAGAAACGTTTGATACGCAATCAAGATTATACGTATTTTTCATGAAATTAAGAAACGAGTTGTCAGGCTTTACGTTTTTGTTAAAATCACCACACAGAAGAATCGGTATACTAGAATCAACTTGCACGAACGGTGGCACGTACTGGCTGTTGTGAATGTACGGACCGAGTCCTTGCCATAGTAACATTCCAATATCCTGCATACTAGCTCCTGGATGAATATATACAGCACCGAGTATAAACTTGAAGCTAGTATTAGCGGCGAAGCAAGTAACTTCAGTCATGCACATGTCACCCTTGGTTTTAATGACACGAGTTACGTCTGTAATCGCAACTTGGAACACTTCCGCCGTAGATGTCGATGATAATTTACGATAGATCGCCACTCCACCAGCCGCGTTGGTATTTGAAAATCAAAACACTTATTCAGATCGAAGGTTCAAATTTTTGCTAAATAAATTTGAAATTAAATAAAATTTGTAATTGTAAATGATGAAGTTGAAAATTAAAACATTTACTTAAATTAGATGTTAAAATTCTTGCTCAACACAGTTTAAATAAAGTTTTCTTATATCTGCCACTTTTTCTTAATATTTGTAATTTTAAAGAATCAATTCGAAAATCAAAACATTTATTCAGATCGAAGGTTCAAATTTTTGCTAAATAAATTTGAAACTATTTAAAATTTGTAAAATAATAATTAATTAATTAATTAATTTTAAACTAATAATTTACTTAACACTATCAACATTTATCAATAGTATGACATAACCTATAAACTTAGTTTCTCAACTTTTGTGTCAATCTAACAATTAATCAATCAATCATAGTTTACGATAATGAAATATCAGTGTACAATTATTTACCTTTATTGTTGTAGTTGTTGTAAATGACGAATCTAAGCACTCCACATTTTCACTACAGACACAGCTGACGATACTTTAACCACACGTGTGAACTTGTATTATGACGCTTTCTTGTTTTTCCAACGCCAAGAACGTTCGAGAAAGACAAAGACAGAGACAAGCATGCGCCGATTCAATGCGCCTAATTCTCTAGCGCTGCGCGCGCAGCTGTGCGCGCAGCACTCTCGTTCGGTGACTCATCGTAACGTTAGCGGGCGTTACACTTTTTCATAAGTGACTCCCAGCCGCAACCTAATTTAAGACGTTGTCACGTCAAAAATAACCCCCGTAAAATTACAAACAATTAACCTTCCCAATAGAAACAACGTCATCTAATCCATTGAATACAAGAACAAATATCTAGGCGACATGTAAGAGATGTAAGCGCATAACCATGACTGTAAATCGTTAACCTTCCAGCATAACAAAGAAACAGCCCAATCCTTCATCTTATCTGAACCTCCATTACTCCAACATCGAAGCTATGTAGTTAACACGTATATATACTTACCCTCAAGTTTACGTAGATATTTGTGGTATTCATTGTTCCAACTGAAGTCAGCGCCGAAGCTGAGTAAGGTCGATATCGGCGAGATTCTCTCGATGGCTTCAGGTGCCGTGGATGGACTTTAAAGCCGCTTCTAGTCTCGAGGCATTAGTTTGAGGAGATGGGTAGGTCAGGTGTGTTGTTGATTCATCAGACCTTCTCTGTAGCAATGGTAACTTGGTCATACCAACATCTTAGAGGTATCTTCGCGGAGACATTTGGTCACAATTTCTTAACATTAGTTTAATCCTAAGGGCTTCTCCCTAGGGCCATGGGAAAGCGAGGTGAGCTTTTCTGAGCCATGTGAAGCTTGCTCCACCATGCTAGACTTGTGCCCCCAGGACTATGCAGGTAGTGCTGTATCGAGCATCGTAGATCTGGGGCTTTATCCATGAACACTACATTCAGGGGAACGTCGCCACTGTACGACATCCAAGTTTTTCTCGAGACTTTTCAACATCTTTGTCGCCATCCAGGATATGTGGCGTCCGAGAGCCACGCTGAGTGAGGCTTATAAGGTTATATGTCTGGAGGGCTTATGTCTTGGGCATTGAGGTCCTCCCGGAACCGCGCCATCAGGTGTCATCCAGGTCCTTCTAGGGCCGTGCGATTACGCTGTAACAATCCCATCATGGAATGCTATCACATAGTATAGTATGCTAGGATAGTTAGTGGGCGTTATGAATTCAGCGGAATTCAATAGTATATTGAATAAAATATCAGGTCTCCAGGGAAAAGTATCTTTTCAAAAACTCTGTAATCTCTATCTTTAGGGCACAAACGCACTTCTACACAGGATAAAACACGGTACAAAAATTGAAATACCATGTAATCAACACGATGGTAACAATTCCTTCAGGGAATACTATTGTACAGGAGAATATTTTGCTGCACGTTGTATGCACAGTGACTAAACAATCTCATATTTGAATCTTTGAAGTCGCAAAACTGAAAGTAAAGGCTAGTCGCCAATCGAGTTGCGGTTTTATCCAGTACCCCGCCTTTATTTCAATTGCTTTGGTCTGCTACTGTCTGTACAAAAAAAATGTTGTAGGTTCTATTAAATGTTTCATGGTAATGTTAATATAATAAAACGGCTATACATTTTGGAAAAATATATTTGTTGACTCCTCTCTAAGAGATGAGTTCAGTCTACTTTTAAATTATATTTTATGACCCATAAAATAGATAATAAAAAGCTTAGATAGCTTAGATAATAAAAAGACATATATTGGATTGAATAAAATATTTATTTGCCAATATTTCGGTTGGCTGAACGCCAACTTTTGTTAAGGCAATATTGGCAAATACATATTTTATTCAATCATATATATGCTTTTTCGTTATCTAAAGATTTAAATATGGTTTGCTCTATATTAAGAACATAGAACTGTATTTTACTGCAAACTAAGCATCTCGATTGCTATCTTTAAAGATTATTTTACTTTGTTATGGGGCGTATTGAGGCGTTTTAAGTAAATTGAATGGAATTAGATATACCGTGGTTGTCGGGAGGCTCTAGTAAAGCTAGAGGTAAGAGCTGCTGAGTTACCTGATCTCTGGCAACTGGTAGTGAAGTCAGTTAATCTCACCTTTGATCTTCCACTTCGAGTGGAGGTGGTTAGTTAGGCTTATTTACGATATTTTATAACTGTCTAACAATTTTGAAAGGGGATACAGGGGAACGTGACTATAGAATTTTGAAGACCAGAGGGTGTGGGTTAGTAACTACAGAAACGGGGGTTAGTATTCCTAACGGGACCCCGGCTCCGCGTTTCCGTGAAGCCGCAGCCGCAGCTGCACGGGATCGCGGGGCAGGGTGGATGCGGGCCTGGGAAAACAGGGAGCGGAAGAAGAAATTTCGAAAGCTAGGGGTGGAAGAAGAAATTGGTATTGGGGGCAGGGGAAAAATAGGGGAAGATCAAGGGAAAATGAGGGACTGGGAAGGGACATTTGATGGGCGGACTGTAAGAAAAGGTCGTTGTTGATGTAGCCTTGAGGGTTATCGAAAAGTTCTGGAGGATCGTGTGCCTGGAAAATGATTGGTGGAGGGTCTGTCTGTGTGCCTATATCAACTTTGCCTCTGGTCTTGGCCCTGCACACACACATACGGCCTGTTAGCTTCGTGGAATACTGGAGCTTTTACAGGAGTAGCTATTCTTGTTATAGTTCCTATAGTAATAATTACATATCCTATATGCAGGAGTACATATGATCATATTTTCATATCAAAATTGAAATAGGATTCACATGAAGGAATGAAAAAGAAGTGAGAGAGAAATAGGAAAATAATATTTTTTCAAATAATATTCAACAGACAACTTTTTATAGAATACAGAACACAGTCTCTTCAGAAGTTCTATGGCGATACGCCTAGCTACGAGATTAGCAATTGCCTTTGTTATATTTTAAGACAAGCCATAGCCACATACTGCGATACATATTTCAATACCAGTATGTTGCGATAAACATGTTAGATGAACTCTTTGCCATAAAAACCCCTATTTTACATATTGGAGATAATTTGAGATTAATTTAAAATGTTATAATACCTTGATAAAGGTTGGCGTTCAGCCAACTGAAATATTGGTAAAATAAATGATATTTTGATCCAATATATTCTTTTTTACATAAATAACTGTAATATTTTTGTTTATTTTAATATGGAATTGGTACCAGGTTGGGTGTTATCAAAAGCTAACCTGGCGGCTACTTTGACCCTCAGCTTTACCAATATCTTAGACCTTGTATGGAGCTAAATATAAATAAACAAGAAATTTTGGAAACGAAATAAAATCGAATCTTTGTGCTTATAATTTTCCTCATGTGTAACCAATGTGTTGTGTGTAACTGAGACCTAGAGAGGATAAAATTTTGATGTCAAGTCTCGACAAATTGCCACATCTATATATATATATATAAATGAATGTCTCTGTGTGTGTGTGTTCTCTATAGATTCAAAAACCATACATCTAATCGCCGTGAAATTTTGGGATATTATTAGATATATCCCCGGAAAGGTTTTCGAAAAATAATTTCTTGAATATCTTTAATATCCTTAAAGTTATTTGCAGATTTGTAGCTTTAATTCGCAAGCAGCACCACCTTGCGACGGAGATAGGCTTAGGTCTGCCCCCCCGTCGAGAAAATGTAATAGTTCGGCCACCGGCCGGTTGGACAGTCCAAGTTCCCACCGACCAATCAGAGGAATCAAGAGGTCCTGGCGCGCGGGGGCAGAGTTGGTGACACAGCTGTGCCAAGTAGACAAGAAAAAAGCCTCGCGGGTGACCTCCGGGAACTACGTCCATCTTCCATAAACGACCATGATTTTATTCAACTTATCGAGTATTTTTCAAGGGACCGGGAAAAAATGTTCACTAGATAAAACGATGATTTTGTAATGTAGAAAATTAGGAAATACAAAATTCAGGATGCCACGGCACACAGGGACCGGGAAAAAATGATCACTTTATCGAGAGATTCAAATTTACGAGTTTCAAATTATCAAAATATATCTATTATTTTTTTATATGTTTATAGAGAATTGTTTTAACAAATGTTCGTTAGACAAACCTTTACTCGGGTAAAACCGGAAAAAATGATCACTTTATCGAGAGATTCAAATTTACGAGTTTCAAATTATCGAAATCAACTTATCGAGTATTTTTTAAGGGACCGGGAAAAAATGTTCACTAGATAAAACGATTATTTTGTAATGTAGAAAATTAGGAAATACAAAATTCAGGATGACAGGGCACGCACGGACCGGGAAAAAATGATCACTTTATCGAGAGATTCAAATTTACGAGTTTCAAATTATCAAAATATATCTATTATTTTTTTATATGTTTATAGAGAATTGTTTTAACAAAAGTTCGTTATACAAACCTTTACTCGGGTAAAACCCGGGCGAAGCCGGGTACATCCGCTAGTTTAATTATAAAACACACTTTTACTCAATTAGTTCAACTTTTATCCCCTTATCAATATATGAATAAAAGGTCTAAAAATATAAAAGATGTCAATAAATTGAGTGAGCTACTGTTTCTTCCTTTAAATTTACTGTGCCATCAATTTTAGATTTTGCAGGGAGTCAAACGGGGAAAGGAAAAAAAGAGGAAATTTCAAAATAAATAAAAGAAGAAAATAATATAGAATATTTTTATTTTAATAATAATTATAGATGTACAACACAAATATGACATGTGTGTATTGTTTTAAAACAGACAATAAATAATGTTGTAGATCTATATCAATTTGTAAATAGCAGAGAGAATTATCACAGATTTAACTATTTTTGTAAATATATTTATGATTTTCTTTCCAACCTGAAAGGTTCAGGTTCCTAATATATATTATTGTTTCTCTCTTTTTTATTTTCGATTACCTTTTCTTGGATAATATGTTTATAGCTGTTTCTGTTTAAAAAATGTAAATAGACGCAATTATCCCTAGCCGGGATATCGCGTTTTGTGTGTTGAAATAAATAAATAAATGGCGTCTTTT